TTGTAAAATTGTGATCTAATTTGATTGTTGTGGATACTGCGACGATATCGTATGATTCTGGCTGATCGTGACCTATAATGCATTGAATGTGACCTTTTGTTTGTGACTGTGATATATTCTACTAAGGTCCCATTTGGAAAGGATTTTGAGAATTGATTTTTTGACCGTTAGAAGAAAAGTGGGGTTTACCTGTGAGAAAAGAAATAAAAAATTATGGCTGGAATAATGAAATAACGGTCAAAAAATCCCTTCCAAACACGCTCTAAATACATTATAAACTATGACCTACATGCAAAGTTGTACATGAAGTTAGTGGATATCAAAGTATTTATGTTCATGCATACTAACTTTTTAATCCAAAGATAAGTTTTCATACATTATAATCATCAATTCCACAAATCTCAAAATGCAGTGACAAACATAAAGATTCCGTTGTCCGTAGTATTATAATGGTAAAATACCAACGCACATGTACATAGTCAATATTCATCTACATGAACATCTACATAAAGATCATACATGAAACTCCCCATTGTAAAATATTCTGGTTATAGAAAATTCAATATATATCTTCATTTCCCATGCCTTTTAATTTGTGTGATTTGTCTATTTTTACACAACAACGATGCAATTTCAAGCCTGGCTCTACTAGCATCAAATGACATGACTTTTCTTGAGAACCAATAGTGTTTGGAAATTAGGTATTTCCAATCCTACATAAATTAGAACGTTGTACATGGCATCAAAATCACGTGTAAAAATGTCACAAACAACACTTACACAAAATATTCAGTTTTGACTATGATCTATAATAAGTGTGACCTTTTATATAAAATTACATTATAAATTGTGACCTATGCAATCACTTGTATTTTGACATGTAAAATTGTACAAGGGCAATACTAATGATTGAGTGCATATCAGTATAAGTTATAGTTTCATGTAAATTTTACTTAAATGTATCTTAATTGAAATCTAAGGTCACAAAATCAAACCGGAAGTCACAAATGTTAACATTAAATATAATGGGATGAATTCACACTTGATTTATAAAAATAAAAGTTTAAGACTTGACTTTTGGAAAGTATAATTAAAAAATAAGGATTTACTTACTTTTCCCATAGATTTTTCCTTTTCATTCCTAAGGATTTACTTACTTTTCCCATAGATTTTTCCTTTTCATTCCTCATCACCATTGAGTCAAGACTGGTTTTCTTGTTCACTTATTTATAGATAACGTCGAAAATATCCTATTTTTCTCCAAAAACTTAAAAAATACTCTGTTTTACAATTTTTTTTTTCAAAAATAACCTTAATTAAAAATCACATTTTACAATTTACCTCCTTTTATAATGTTTAAAAATGCGTATTTTTCATTTAAAAGCAGCATTTCAATTTTTCATTACAAAAATATTTTCTATGAATTACATGTTAAGATAACATATAAGTTACTGTGTCAGTTTTAATGTAACATTAATATATTTGAATCTTTAATTTAAAACAACATTTTAAGTTAACAATATGTTGCTCTGTTAATATGTGTTATTGCACTCCTTATTATATGATTTGTGTGGTAAACATATATGTTACCGTTTTACATGTGTTAATGTGTTAATATGTTGTCATTCAATGCTATTTCTCTCCATCACTTACCTTATTTTACATGTTATGTGTTCTTATTTTGGAGTAGTAACATAAGTGTTATTTAGAGGGTAACATATGTGATATTTTTATTATGTCTTGCACTATTCCCATCATCATTGTCGCCTTCCAACACTTCCAACTGCTACCAATCGAATAAAAAACAAGTGAAAAAAAAAATTGAATTTCAAGTAAAATTACCATAAATAGAGAGTAACGCAAAGGTTTCCCTATTCTTTCTAGGGTAACATTTTTGTTACTCTCATTCCAAACCCTAACACCACCTTGTTCGACATTATTTTCTACCATCACCACTGTCTTCAACCACCAATTATGTTGAACATTGTTTTTTAATTACGTGTTTTATTTGGCCAAGAAAAGACATGTAACATCTTGAAACCATCGCACCAACATCATCACCTTCTCCTGCCACCACTGCACCAACAATCAACCCCAGCACCACTACGTAACCATCTACCATAGGATCTAGATTTGGGATAAATATCCACTCTTAGATTTAAATCCAAATCTATATCTTGATTTAAGATGTCAATCTCGAACAATTAAAAGAAGAAGAGAAGACATCGAAGAAAAACTTGAGCTTTAGGTAGCAATGGCATGATGTAGTGGTGTTAGTGACGATGGAGACTACAAGGGTTGGCGACAATGGCAACGAAGGTTGGTAGCGAGTTCGAATTTATTAGAAGAGATTTTTGAGGTTTAATTTTTATTTATTTTATTTTTTGAAATGTTGGGGAAATGCTAATCGGTTTTGATGGTGACATTTTACAATATCCCCGATCAGTATATCCCGAGGACTAATTTTGGTAAAGTTGTAAATCCATCTGTGGTGTCCTCGAGCATGTTCGTCCTCGAGACACAAGGCCCGACCACATCTCCATGATGCTTCGCATATTGCAAACATGTGTCCTCGGGCATAGTCCTCGGGAATGTGCTCCTCCTTACTGCTGACGATTGTTCACACTTTAGAATTCCTACGCAATTAGGAATCTTAACTCCCACAAGAGTCCTATCTCACGCATAATTCTGGAATTCAACCAACTCCTTAACCATTCAGGACTCCAACAGATGAAGACATCCAACTAGTTGAGTCCAATTAGGAGAATGTCACTTACTACTATAAATACAGAACCTTGAACCATTATTCAGGTACGTTTTCTCATTGTTCTTCAGCATATAGCCTCACGCATATATTTCCCTTTCTGACTTAAGCATCGGAGGGGCGACGAGAACACACCTCGTTGCCTTTGTTTCAGGTATCGGAAGATCACGTTCGTGCTCATCATCAGTCATCAAGCTCGGAAAATCTACAGGTACGATTTTTGGTAGCATCAAGTACGAACTAGATCTTTCGGTACCTAAAACAAAGGGATCGAGGTGTGTCCTCGTCACCCCTATGATACTGAAGTCAGAAAATGAATTTATGCATGAGGCTATGAACTGAAAATAATGAAAGACGTACCTAAATAATGGGTTGGAGCCTCATATTTATAGAGATGGGTAGTGCACTCCTGGTAGTATTAAGTTAGTTTAATATCCTTATCCGAAGGAGTCGTACTTGATACGAGTGTTGGACTTATGTTATGACTAGTCCATGTTGTTGTAAAATAGTGATACAGTTGTGGTAGAGTTCTACTAGGCATAGGAGTCCTAGGATCGGAAGTTGGAGGGAGATTAGAATCATTTTGGGACCGGGATATCTTTGAGTTAACCCTCTGGTGGTGGAAAGGATCCACATCAGAAATTATGCTTGTAAACAAAAGGGCATCTCCCTTTTTTCACATTCGGAAGAACTATTAACGAGTGGTGAAGAAAAATTAGAATAAATAGAGCCAGGAAATTGGGCATGTGCAACTTCGAGTAATTTACCTGAGGAGCATTATTTTCAACAACTGGATTCTTGAAATTGTGCGAAATGAAATCGTAATTCAATGTCATGTCTTGATTTTGTAAAAACTGTAATAGATATTACTTTTGCTCCTTTTATTTGGCAACGAGAACGAATTTGCGAAGCAATTACTGCTAATTGAAGTTGTTTGAGAGTATGACATTGCATCCATTTACAACAAACAAATATATGAGTACAGTAATTATCTAGTTATGCTACGACCATTTATCTATCTTTGATTAAGAAGCGCTTGGGGGGATAGGAAATTGGGAAGAGGTGGGGTATTTGGAGTTGGTGGCGGTTGAGCAGCTTTTCGATAGATTTGGTCAAGGAGTTGGAGGTGGTTGGAAAGGATTTCTGGTGGCTTGGGAGTTTGTCTGGAAATGATAAGGAATGTTTGGCTGACCTAGAGATGCACTTAATTATTTAACGATTCACATAAATTTACCATATGCCACCTAGATACAGTCAAAGACGGAATTCGTCCAATAAGTGACGGAAAATAACGGACATAAGTTTAGTGACCATTGGGACGATTCTTGAAGTTGGATGACTAAATCGTGACGAAGTACAAAGTTTGATGGCCAATAAAACATTTAACTCGTGATCCATGTATCTTTATGTTGTTTTACTTACAAGATGATGACGTATTGTGATTGGTCTAGAGGGTAAAATTCTATTTACCCAAAATTCTACTATACTAAAGTCATACTTTAGGAGTAAAAATATAACCCTTTCGCCTTACTAGGGCTAAACATATATCGGGAGGAAATAATAACCAGAGGAAGGGTTGGAGCAGCTTGGTGATGTAATAACCATGGAGGAGGGTCCCTTTGGGGAAGGAGTAAAAGTCATGTGGGAACCTGGAAACCAACAAGGGCACAACCTGCGATTTACCTCCACTAGTCACTGAAGGGCCGGGGGCTAGAGGTCCAGGATTTAGTCCGGCTAAGCTGGGACACCTGGGTTATCAAAAAAAATATATATATATATATATATATCGAGAGGGAGCCATACAAACCGAGTCAGAAAAAAGCCCATTTCAGAGAGAGAGATGATACCAGTACCGGTGGGAGAAGAAGTCGGCCCGAAACTCGCTCGACTTCTGTACTTCGTCGGCGCCGGATGTATGTATTTAACATTCTGAACGAATTTCTTCAATTTTTATTTTGGTGGTCTTAAATCATATGTATCCGCTCGGAAAAATCATGCCCTTTTTTATTGCAGTTTTGTGCACTGCTGCGATTAACAAGTGGAGAGATTGGGAAAGAAAGTCTACGATTCAAAAGCAACAACAGTTTAATGGTCAAACACTGAAAAATCAATCAAATGGGGTACAAAAAGCTATTGAATAAAAACGATCCCCCCCCATCCCACTTTTTTCTCTTTTTGATGAGGGGGTTCTTGATTTTCAATAGGCCGTTGCTGTTAAATAAACAATTTGATGATTATTCAGGTGGACAAATTTTTCAATGTAGTAAGTGGATTTAGACTGTACATGGTTTCTTCTTGTTTCTGATGTATGGACCAAATTGTTTAGGATTTCGTGATTACAAAAGAAAAAAAAATGGTTTGTTACTATTGTGTTATAGTTTATGGATTGCATAAAACCTGTAAGAGAAACCTTTTGGTATAGAAGATAATGTGATCTATTCACTGTGGATATGGTGAACTTCATTACTACATTTTTTTTAGCAATGCACTTGTGACTGTGTTTGTGTTTGATTACATTTATTTTCCATGGAAAATATCAGTTTTTCACCCAAATTCCTACTTTGAGTGATTGATTGCTATTTTTTTCCATGGAAAACATTTTTCAACTTTTGAAAATATGCCTAATTTTCCTTGTTTTTAAGGAAAATATTTTCCTTGGGTAGAGGTGGTTTTTATTTTCCACAAAAGATGGAAAATATTTTCTTTTTAATGTGATATTTTCCATGCCAATCAAACACACTGTAATGACTTGGGAACCCTCCCCTTACATGTAAGTTTTAAGTCTAAATTATACTGAATGGGGTTTTAGCATCTCAAGCAACATGAAAATATTTTGCAATGCCAGCTGCCTTGATGGACTTCATTGTATGTAAATCTTGACATTTCTGATAATTTGATAATATAGTAGGGCAAATAAGAGTTCTTTATTGGTATTGCATGAATCTCATGGTCCCTAGGTCTTCAACTTTGCCACTTGAGCTACATCTCATTTGCATATTGTAGAGAATTTAGAGATTAGGCAATGTTGTTGATAAAGATTCTGCTTAAACATGGTCCATGGATTATTTAGTGTAGATATAATTATGATGCTATCTGTCAGGTTCTTGGTTTTTGATATTTTATTTTTCTAATAATCTTTCAACCATGGTAGCAAGAAAATTTTCTTGTTTATTTCAAAAGCACAATGGCATGAGGAAGATTGTTTTGTCAATTTGGTTTCGTTTTGAAATGCTGATAAGACCCCAACCTTTGAAGCTGTGATTCTTACTCGTGAGATAGGAATTAAGATCTGAAAATGTAACCGAGAGCAATTGAAGATGTAGGAATTAGAAAATAATCCTTTATTGCAACTGAATAATGGAAATACAACCCTCAGGCAATTCGAGGGGCCTGGATTCCCTCCTAACAGAAAGACTCACTAAAACAATGCCTACTTTTCCCCTTTCCCTCCAAGACCCTTTTATAGACGTTTTAATCTACCACTATTACTCTTTTACCCCCTAGCTACTGGCTTACAAGAATATTCTGGAATGAAAGTCGACAAGGCCGCCTTGTATCCTTCTTCCCTCTTCTTGCGTAGGTGAATCGTATTGCGGGTCTATCAAATGCCCTTTTAACAATTTACGGGAGAAGCCATTGAATAGTTCTTAGGGCTATTTTTCCACCCTTTTAGTGAACTTCGAAATCATGATGAAAATTTTAATTAGATATACATTCTTCCACCGCTTAAGGCTATTTGTGCCTAGGTGGAGAGTTTGGTTTTGACTCCTACCATTAATTGATTCGAAGTAAAATGGGAGTTGGGAGTCATATCGATAGCCTTATCTCAAGAAGAACATTTGGAATAGACGTACATTGGATATCATTGATGGTTTGGGGCTTTCAGCTTCTTGATACATAATTGTGCTGTTAGTATCTTCTCTAACCTTAGATTTTCCTGCTGCTAGAGAGTTATGAATGTGGATGGCTGCACTTTGGGCAGACAGATTCATATTTCTTTAGCCACCCCCACCCCCCCCCTCCCCATTTCCCCTCTGGGTTTTGTTAAACATATAAATTTTTAGTAGATCTTGATTGAATTTGATGAAATGTGGGGTCGAACAATTGATAAAAATTGTGAGTTTCATAAAATGTGTTATGATTTGTTGGAGCACATCTTTTCATGTATTGCATATGTACCTTGTTTTGTGAGATTGTCTACTTGTATTTCCAAAGTAAATATTTTAAATTTCCAGATTTCCCCTTGAATTAACATAAGTATTTTTTATACATTAATTTTTAATATTTTTTTCAAACTTCTTAACCCACTACAAAAATTAATTCAGAATAGAGATAGTTTTCTAATTTGATCATTAAAACGAAAAGTTTTAATTAACTTACTAAAAGTGAAAACGTTAACTACCCACAGACCAAAATATTACTCCTCCATAAGGGGAGGCATTTTTTCCTCCCTAACCTATAGGAAATATAAAAAAATAATATTATTTGTAGTTATTTACTATCGCAGTCGTCCTACGTGATGCATTTGTGGTGGTTAATAATTTGATATATGAGGCAAAAAGAAAATTATCATATTAATACATTAAATTACAAATCGTCATATGAGATGTCATGTAGAGCGATTATTGTAGTGAACAATTATAAATAGTATTACTGAATATGAAAAATCTACATCTAGAATAACATATTCACAATTTTTCAATTACATAGCAAAACTTATCATTCTTTACATTTTGTCCATCAAATGACGGATTGTCATTCTCTTTAAATAAATAAAAAATAATGAGTAAAATAATAAACTGTAAATGGTGTTTCATAATCTTTGAAAGAGTATAAATAAACATCACTTAAATAATTAAATACAAATATACATATCAAAATTATTTACAAGAATTTCATCTTCGCCAATCAAACTCCCCCGTCCATCCTCGTCAGCACCCACTTCATCACCTTCAGATGGGTGATTCTTACTCACAGTTTTGGTTGGACTAAGAAGCGCAAGGGTGAGTTGGATCTAGTTTGGAATTGTAGTACGAAGATATGTATTGTAACTCTACGGGTCATGGCCAGTCCATTTGGTATAAAAAGTTATGGGCCTCGGATGGGCCGACCTCTATTTGGGGCTCCATCTGCCCAGAGTCCAACTTCTTGTGGCTGCAGTCAAGGTGACATCACTTGACTATATATGAATATTGAGCATCATCGCATCCCTTGTGACCTTACGACTTGCAGAACATACACAATAAATTTCCTTGCCCTTTCGACATCACAAGGTACATAAAAATCCGCATCACAAGGTACATAAAAATCCGCAAAACAATTGTTTCAGCACCGCACAACACGGCGATTTCGGTTACCAATGGTGTGAACTTCGAGAAAGTTTGAACGGCTTTCAAACAGAAAATATATTTTCCGTTTGAATCACTATAAAAAGATTAACTAATGAAGTTTATACAACATTTGAATTCCAATTTAATTGCAACTCAGGCCATGATTGATAAGGTCTTTAGAAAGTTAAAATTTGCTTTTTAGAATAAGAATCTGTTTAGATATTTTTCTAGAAACGCTCTAATTGACTATACGAACTTTTAGAGACAATTAGCATAAGATATCTTACTTAGACTCTTTTCTACATGAAGTTGAAATCCTACCGAATGGGCTGTAATATAATTGAGTTTTGCTACACGAACATAGAGAATGATGTTGGGAATCTACTTATACATGCACAGCGAAATTTAAAATAATTTTCGATTCCCACCAAGAATCGCCTTTGTGTTTAGATAGAAATTGTGATAAGATTGTACCTTTTCCAGATCTGCAATCCTTTTGCTTTTCTTTTCGTTCCACAACTTTGATTCGCCACCACAGCTGTCCAATTGTCCAGCCTCCAACGGTGATCCACACAGAGAATATGATTGCAGCCTCTAGGGTTTTCTCTTGTGCCAACAAGAATAATAAAAACCTTAATGGACCTCAAACCCTAATTATGTATTTATATAAACCCAAACAGGCTCGGCCCGGTCCGGTCCAATAATTAATTAATCCAATTAATTAAACCCGGTCTGTGAATTAATTAATCTAATTAATTAATTCGAAAATATAAATAACAAATCCAATTAATTAATTTATCCAACGATTGTTAAATTAACTAATTGGCAATTTGCAATCTTCCAATTCTCTTTTGTGTGTGACCCATTAGGTTCCCGACCACGATGCCTAACGACGTGAAATATTATTTTGATCTAATCAAAATTGATAAATTAAAACACCCTTTTAATTTATCGTCAATTCACATTCGCCGTCCCTGATTGACATCTAGCAATGTGTCAGGGCAATACATGTGACGGGAAATGTCACGTGGTATGACAAAATCAAATTCGTTCGTTTACCGTGAAACTATAATCCCTTCGTCAATATGATCCGATCAATTACGAGATATGGAGTTGTGTCAATCTCGATCATCGATCATATCTTTCACTCCACTATTAAGTCAATATAAGTCAAAAACTCATTTTCGACTTATGAGTACACCTTGGCCAATGATTTCATCATCGACTTAATTGAATGAAACGCAGATCATAATCTCCTACTATCTAAGAGTGACGAATCCTTTATTGATCAATCACAACCTTCATACGGTTCTTGACGTACCCGAACGATATCGTATTAGCGGCCCTTTTCAGAGCAACATCCAACACCGCCAAATTATGACTGTCCTCATATAAGGTACTATGACGACCTCAAGTCAAAGGACCAATTCCACTACCGAACGTTAGAGATTAACCACCGACACTCCGATAGTTATCCATGTGGAATCTCTCGACGGGTCTCCAATGTTTTGTTCTATAACAAAAATATCCACGTGTTCATTTAAGTGTCACCACACTTTAGTTTGTGAGATCAGCTACTTACTTCACAAGTAAGAAATGCCACACGTGATGGTCTATCCGTAATAATGATATCCGTATCTCGTTATTACTTACGACCACGGATGATTTAAGATTCAATCAGATGTAATTTGTATCTCACAATCACAACTCTTTGTGATTAACAAATTACAAATATTTGAATCCACGGACTCTATTATTTATTTAATTGTCTATTAATTAAATAATAGATCTGCCATTTAATTGCATTAATTATCTATAAAAGTATTTATGTCCAAAGTTGATTGGACCTAGGGCATAATACTTACAAATGACATAGGGAATGATCGAACACACATAGATGGGATTGACATTTTTTAATTCACGTGGGATTCACGAATGATGTGAGGGTTGGTAAATCGAGATGTCAAAATTTTCGAGCAAACCAGCTTTATTCAATGTAATTTTACATAACACCTATTTGATAGAAATTAAAATTTAGATTTTTATCAAAATCAAAATTAACAATTAATTTTAATCACACATTTTGTAGGATTCACAATTTTTCAACCATATATTTTATTAAGTTCGATAGAATCCGGCTAAAACTGTGGCCAATATATATTATTTCTTTAGCTAGCTGAGCTGCCAAGAAACCAGGAAACTACCAATCATGTTCTTACAAGTCAGCTCCACGCGCCACCGCTAACAGCAGCCTTACTTCCCTTAAAAAGCCAGCTGCCCAACAATAAACCCTTCATCTCACTGCCCACGCCCTCACTCAAACACGCTTGAAGTTTTCTAGCAAAATGAGTTTTCAGCGATTCCACGACACGTGGTTTGAGCAGCTCCGCCACCTGGTGCACCAGCTAAGCCAAGCCCCAAGACCACCAACCACGGAGGAGGACTACCACCACCTCCACCAGCTGGTCAACAAGGTCATGTCCCACTGCGCTGAGTACTACCGAGTCAAATCTCTCGCCATCAAGCAGGACGTGCTGTCCTTCTCCACCGCGCAGTGGACCACCACGCTTGAGCGCTCTCTCCACTGGATCGGCGGGTGGCGACCGACCACCGTCTTCCACCTTGTGTACACCGAGTCCAGCATCCTTTTTGAGTCCCGTGTGGTGGACATTCTCCGCGGGTTTCGCACCGGCGACCTCGGGGACCTCTCTCCCGGCCAGTTCCGTCGTGTCAGCGAGCTTCAGTGTGAGACTGTGCATGAAGAGAATGCAATTACCGATGAACTCTCCGAGTGGCAGGCATGCATTCCTTAATTAATTAATCATGATACCTAAATTGATTAAAAGTAACACTGTGTATATGTATTATATAACTTAATTAATCATTGCTTATAATTCGTTTAACTTAGTATTAAATTAATATTATTGTTTAATATGTAATTAATTTATTTTATTTTTGTGGTGATTAGGATAGTGCAAGTGATCTAGTGGGATTATGTGGAGATTTTGATGAGAAGATGGAAAGACTAGCAAGAATATTGAACAAGGCGGACAGCCTCCGGCTGAAGACTATCCAGACGGTGGTGGAGCTGTTGACGCCGCAACAGGCGGCGGAATTCCTGGTGGCGGCCGCCGAGTTGCACTTTGGAATTCATGCATGGGGTGTTGAACAAGATCGTCAAAGAGGCAACGCATGAATTTTAGAAATTAATATTCTCAAATTATGTTTTAGAGTACGTCACAATTTGTATGTTCAGATTATGGTTAAATCGAAATATATTTAAGAAATTTACCATTCTTAATGTTAAGTACTTTTTTGAGATAGCTTAAAAATTTGTCATCAAATCAAATGCCAATCTTTCTTTAAATTGTTAGTTACTAATCACTTTTCCACGTATAATCATACATTCTTAAAAATTATTTTTCGAAAATATCAACGCCATTTGTTGGCCAGTGCTGTCTCTTTCTTTAGTTAGGGCAAAATAGAAAGGTGATGACGTGTTCTATGGAGAATCGATGCATGCATGCATAGGGACACCTGTCAGTCTACGTGTAGGCTTCTCCGCAGTAGTAACAAGATCATTGAATAACAGTAAACCTCAATTTTAATTAACAATGCTATTGACACTGACAATAAAACCACTTGACCAGGCTTAGAAATATGAGAGTGAAGATGAGTGTTGTTTTAATTTTTCAAACTCTGCGTGAACACGTCCCATTTGAATTTGAATCTGAATTTGTAGCATGATTGGATTACTGAATGGACATTATCGCTTGTAGGTTTATTTATTATGGTGAGATTTAATTCCGTTAAAATTTTATTAACTAAATAAAAAATTAATTTTTTTGATAACCCATTAATTTGTAAAAGATTAAGCAAATGATAATGTACACAAAGCCTACTCTTGAAGAAAACACAACACGTACGAGACCCTTTTTTTTTTTTTTCCTACATCATGTTGTCTAAAATGAAGCTATGATATTCTTGAAAGTATAGAGCCCTTGTTTATTTTCGCTAAAAATTAGATTTTAGTAGTTTTAAAAAAAGTGATAAAATGTGCAGGGATCCATAAAATTATTTGTTATAAATGAGTTTTTGAGAAAAATAAATTTTAAGAGATAGGACCAAACCGAGGAAGACTTTTAACGTTGTAGAGGTTAAATACAACTATACAAGGTTTTCCTGAATTGAAGGCTCAAAATGCTTCTAAGGTTGGATTCTGTTTTGAAGATTAGAAAACTAATTCCATCTTTACCAACTCTTAGCCCCTGTTTGAGCCACATTATTGTAAAAATGAGAATGAAAAATATAATAATTATGTCCCCCACACAAGAAATAAAAAGTCAAATATAATGACTTAATGTGATAAATAATAATCATATTTTTCATTTTAATGAGAAAATGATGAGATTCAAACAGGGCCTTAATCTCGTTTGCTTCAAGCAAAGTCTTTGATACATACATACATACATATGTATGTATGTGTGTGTATATATATATATATATACTTGCTGAAATTCTAAACACATCACCCGAAACCCAGAATGTTATTGTTTGCACTTGAAGATTTTCTGCAATCAACCCATAATTCATACAAGAAACAGCAAAAGATTGTAATATTCTTATTTTCACCAAGAAAACATCCATGTTTCACAAGGAAAGCCAAATCCATAGTCCAGAGTTCTAACAGTTGAGCATAACAGCGGTTAAATGAAAAGGACACAAGGGTTCATGTGGACCATCACTTTAGTACTCGAACTGACAATGAAAGTGCAAGAGATTTGACTTCCCTCCCCGTTGGTTTGTTACTTCTTTCCTCGCAGCTTCGCTCCGAGAGCCCTCTCGAGTTTAGAAATTATCTGCTGATTTGGAATAGCCTTTCCAGATTCATATTCCTGGATAATTTGCGGTTTCTCATTTATCATCTGCCGAGCAAGCCAAGAATTGCGAGGTTATGAGAGAGTAAATTATATGAACAAACAGTAACCTGCTTCATTAGTCTGCTTGTGTGCCATGAGCACAAATGTGTGTTCTTGGCTGCGGAAATAGAGAGAAGACTCACCTGAGCAAGTTGAGCTTGTGTCAGTTTCTTGTCCAATCGAGCTTGCATGATGGCCCTTTTCAATTCACTAGGAACCTTCTCATCTGAGACAAATTGACAAAAAGAGACAAGCGCCAAAGAAGGTCACCAAATGAATTTGAGATTTGCATTTGCATAGGAATAAACTTTTATTATCACAGCAAGTTAGGCACCCTAATGCCTCTTACCTTAAAACAAAAAAGCCAGATAATTTAATTACAGGAAAGAGAGTGAAAAAAGATTGAAGAGAAAACAATTTTTGGTACTCAATCAGCAGTGTTGAAGAGTAAAGGCGCTCCATCAAATGTGGAAGCATGAAGGAGACATGTATGATTATCTCTTAACACAATAGGACCAGTTAAATGCTGTAAAATCAACTTACGTGCTAGATTATCTGTCTCCTCATCAAGCTTCCTGGTGTTCAAAGTGGTACTACTTGAAGCAGCCCTGTTTGTGCCAGCATTTGCTGCAGTGGAGCATAAATTTAATATTTCTAAACAAATCAAGAGCTAGCAGAAGGCAATAAAAGCTTCACCCCGTAAAAGGCCTACATTTCTCTCTCACTCATGGTCCATAAAAAGATACTCTAAAGTACTAAATGACTTAGATACAATCACTGAATCAGCACAACAACAAAAAAGGAGAGACCTCGGCTATTTGAAATGGCCACCAACACATGTACAAAGGGCATGACAGATAATCAGAGCCAATCAGTTTAAAATGCATTAGATATAATCATATTGTCGATGTCAAAATATTTATTTGACACTTAACAGATGAAGATGTAAATGGAAATCTATATCAATGTCTACAAGATTTCTATGTTTGAGTTTGCTGAAAGCTCAAACGGGGTGCAATAATTTTAGGAGAGTTTTTGTTGTGTATGTGTAGATATCCCCGTTCTAACGATGAAAAGGCTTTTTATAGATGCAGACAAGAAAGGTGGTGCACTCTCCTCTTGGTTCCTCTACATGCTTTGAGTGCTGTCCGAGGCATGCTTCTCTGCCAAGAAAGCACTCTGCAAGCACTATAGCCATCAGGAGTCAAATTCTAGGCTTTCCAGAGTTAATGCCAACTGGATGTCGGTGTTGATCCCTCCGCCATACCTCCTGCAGATGTATAGATGATAACTCGGTCTCAGCTGCACTGACGACCTTGTGAATCTTTTGTTCTATTGAGGATGAAGTAAATGGCAGGTTGTCTTCTAACATAATTGATAATACTAATGAAGATGTTACTAAGCGTTACACTGTCATTATACTTGGCAGGTTGACTTAATGTGGCGCAATTGCTCTCTTTTCCTAGCAGTCAGTTCCCTTGTTTTTGGTCTACCTACCCTTAGCACTTGCCAATTAATCCAATGTCCATGATGGACACACCTATTCTCAAGAGGACAGTTCCTTACTGGTCTTTGGCACCTCTTTGCAAGGGAATGAACTCATTACCGTAACCAAACTAAACTTTTAAGAATGTGCATAGAACATAACTATCCCAGGATCAACATGATCTTTACCCAGTTAAAACTTAAAACTAGATACTGCAGCACAGCAAGAAATGTGCCCATCAACATTGTCTCTGATAGATGCACATGAGGAGGTTTGATCAAATAAAAAATATTTCCATCAGAATCCCATTTTGCATTGATACACTGGTAATAGACCGCAGCTTAAACAAAAATTCCAAAGCCAACTCTAAGGCTATGTTCCGTGGCACCAAATTAGGGCATAAAATGGAATGAAAAAAAATTGCATTCAAATGCAATTCCCTTTTTTCTTTTTCCTAAAGAAATTGTAACTGCCAGGCCCCAATTGAATGTGGTTAAAACTAGCTTACAGTACTGTTTTCACTCAAACCAGTCAAGAAATGAATTTTTCGTGATTAGAACTTAAATCCATGATAATCTCAGCATTTGAATTCCAACATAAAGTTTAAATCAAAGATCAGACGGAGGACACATAGAGTATCAAATTATGATAAGATAAATATTTACACCACCCGTGAGTCCATGAATAAACTATATTTGAAGAATAATTGCAAAAATGATGAATAAAAAGCACATTAAATGACACAAAGGACCTGAAAACCAGCTGAATAAGAAAAAACATGTGCATACACTTCGATAAATAGATAGATAATTAGGAGAAAAAGGATGAAATAAGTAACTCGAGCTAAGAGACGGAAAGTACGCAACTCGCAAGACTCTTATTTATTATTTTTCTTTTTCTTTTATTTTTATATATATATATAAATTTTATTTTTATTATTTTTATTTTTTTGCGATGGAGCTGCTATACAACATATTAAACCCTAAATCGTATAATTGCGAGGATGTAAATTCAAATATATAACAGAGACATACACTTCTTCACGGTTTCGATCTCGGCGCCGGAACGGCGAGCGGCGTTGACGGCCTTCTCATCCTTACGAGCAGCGGCAGTTGGAGCCTTCTTCCGGATGACAACCGGTTCCCAATCCTGTGCGATTCCTGCCATTTTCTCTACTTTGCCTCTCTCCTTTTCAATGAAAAATATCTGTGCGCTGGTGACTTGGGCTAGGGATTGACTGTTGAATGGCATATGGTTTGGTTGGGTTAATTACGCCAATAGTCACTGAACTTTGCAAAAGGTTTCTAATGGGTCACTGAACTTTCCAACCCCTAAACCACCTTAGAGCCACCACTTATGGACCTCCAAAATCCACCATCCGGCCACTTTGGCCGCCGGATCGACATACCACCTTGAAGTTCTCGCTTACCTCTTTGCCACCCATCTAAGCTTCAGTCATAACACCAATCGATTTGATCGAAAATTCAAGCCAAAATGGGATGACCAAGCACAAAAATGGCCGGAAGTGTTAGAATCACCACTTTTGGACCACCAAAACTCCACCTCTCGGCCACTTTGGCCGTCGGACCGACATACCACTTTGAAGCTTTCACTTCCCTCTTCGTAACCCACCCAAGCTCTGGTCATAACACCAACCGATGTGGTCGAAAATTCAAGCCAAAATGGGTAGTCGGAAGCACAAAAAATGGCCAAAATTTTCATTTTTTTAATGTTCCAGGCTGCCCATTTTGGCTTGGATTTTCGCCCGCATCGGTTGGTGTTATGATCTGAACTTGGGTGGGTTGCGAAGAGGGAAGTGAAAGCTTCAAAGTGGTATGTCGGTCCGACGGCCAAGGTGGCCGAAGGGTAGAGTTCGGTCTGACGGCCAAGGTGGCCGAAGGGTAGAGTTTTGGTGGTTCAAAAGTAGTGACTCTAACACTTCCAACCATTTTTTGTGTTTGGTCATTCCATTTTGGCTTGAATTTTCGGCCAAATTGATTTGTGTTATGGCCGGAGCTTGGGTGGATTGCGAAGAGGGAAGCGAGGGATTCAAGGTGGTATGTCGGTCCGACAGCGAAGGTGGCCGGAGAGTGGATTTTGGTGGTTCATAAGTGGTGGCTCTAAGGTGGTTTAGGGGTTAGAAAGTTCAGTGATTTCTGAGAAACTTTTTGCAAAGTTCAGTGACCATTTAGGTGATTTTTAAAGTTCAACAACTTCTGGGAAATATTTTGCAAAGTTTAGTGACCATATGGTAATTTTTAAAGTTCAGTGGCCCCTTGAAAACCTTTTGCAAAGTTCGATGACTATTGGCATAATTAACCCGATTTAGTTATAGGGCTAATTAAATATGGTTACTGAACTTTGTCGTACTTAATATTCGAACTTAAAAATATATTTTAATGATCACTAGACTTCGTCAAATATTATTATTTCATAATTAAACTTAAAAATGTATCTCCATAATCACTGAACTATGCATCGTGTTACTCATCCATCACTCAAATGAAAAATATCCGTTCAGTTTAATAAACGGCTTCAACTTGAGCAATGAATGGATAACACAGTACATAGTTCAGTGACTATTAAGATACTTTTTTGAGTTTAATTATAAAATAATAACACTTGACGAAGTTTAGTAAGTATTAAGATACATTTTTAAGTTCGATTATTAAATAGTAACAATTTCCTTTTTACTCAAATTGACATGTGAAAGAAGAATTTGAAGAAAATGAAGGGAAAAATGCTCTATTTTTTTTTTTTTTGTATATATATAGTCTCCATCACAATGAAAATTACATTTGATTTTTAGATCAATTAGTATCAGTTCATCATAACTAGAACTTTGTATAAAAAGATTGAAACACAAACAGTAGTAACACTAAAACAAAATGATAGAGAAAAATAAAAGAAAATACAAAAATGTTCAAATTAGTGCCAATATAACTAAGGTCGATTTGTTTTATTAAACTTTTTTCCATTCATTTTCTTTAGTTTCATTTTGTACTACTCAATAATCGAACTTAAAAGTTGTATCTTAATGGTTACTGAACTTTGCTAAGTGTTATCACTTTATAACTGAACAAAAATGATGTATCTAGATAGTCATTGAACTATACACCATGTTACTAATCCATTATTTAAGTCGACACCATTTGTTGGATTTAACGGATTTTTCCATTTGAGTAAAAGATGAGTAATGCGATGCATAGTTTAGTAACTATTGAGATATATTTTTTAATTCAGTTATGAAGTGGTAACATTTAGCATAGTTAAGTAATTATTAAGATATATTTTTAAATTTAGTTATTGAATAATAACATATGACAAAGTTTAGTATCCATTCATATAATTAACCCTTTACTTGTATATTAAAGGGAAATCTTGCAGAGCATTAGTTGCAAAGTTATGTGAGTGAATGGGATTATTGGATGAATAGCTAATTACATGTTTAGATGTTCATAACATCGTTCTTGATTATTATTTGCTCAAATTTTATCTTTATTCACACATTTACAACTGTTAATTACATATTCTTCAAGATCTAATACTTATAATTAATTATAAATATTCACAAATATGGGCTGAGTTGGACAGCTAAAACAAGATTGGCTCTTCAGTCCCCATTCTTTAGGATTTACTCAAATGGAAGTTAGCACGTAACATTTCTACCTTTTATTATTATTGTGGAAAATGTACATACCTTCTATTTTTTTTTATATTTTCACATTTAATTATATATTTGAATGCGAAAAACATCATTTTTCATCCAAATTCTCGATAAAAGACTATGAAATAACAAATATATCTTTCTATTTAAATAAAAATAAATAAAGAACTAATTGCTATCGTAGTTGATTTTTTATTTTTTAAAAAGTGCAAAAGAATCCCATGTCAAGAAAAAGAAAACCTTTATCAGGAAAGGATTCGGCTTTGGAACTGCTTGTAGCAGCAGCAGCATTAGGAGGGATGGTACTCTTATAATTATCTTCATGCATGCTCCCCTCTAAGGTTGGGCAAAACTCCCGAATCGGACTTGAACTGAACCGAGCAATTCTTCTTAAGTTAAATATCTGAACGGGTATCTAAATTGAAAATCGACGGATTTGATTTAGTTCTTAGTTCTAGATCAAGAATCGGAGAACTGATTTCCTAATTTCTTAAATTTATTTATTTTATTTTTCTCTAAATAGATTTGATAATTAGTTAATTTAGCTCAAACCCAAAAATATGAAATCCTATTTTTTATTTTTAGTCCAAGCTCATCTTAATCAAATTGACCTAAATTTTACCAAAATTTATTAGAGTGATTCTTGGGTGACATATATCTCTCCAAACAGGGGGGCATGTGGTGCCCCCTATTGGTAGGAGGACTGACGACGTCCAAGCAGATTAACCCAATTTGTTATTATACCAAAGTGTTGTTTCTTCCGTTTTGAAGAAATCGAATTAAAACTCGACAGCGCTTCTCTTAATTATTGTAAGCTCGCTATCATCATTTTCATATTATTTTAACAATCAAATTTATGAATAACTCAGCAAAAATAGACGTAAAAGACACATAAGATTGTAATACATTATTTTATAAGAACTAAAATTGAACATGACATTAGTTGAATTAATGTAGCTTTGTAAATATTAAAATATTAATTATAATACAGAACTTGGGAAATGAACCGAACTAAACCAAACTTGAACGGTTTTATAATTAAATTTGGATTCGACGATTTTACTTACTAAATATCCGAAAATTTCGGATTCAATTCAATTGTAGTTAGAACCAAACAGGACCAGACCATACCCAACCCTACTCCTCTCCTTCAAAACCTCCTCAATGTCCTTGTAATAAGACATCTTGGCAGAACCATTTCCATCACTATCTGATTCTGCTTAGCTTTCTTGAACTCCTTCGATAGATTCCTTCACTTTTCGGTGCACATAGTGGGAGACCTATCAAACCCTCTCTCTCTCATTTTCATTGAAATCTAGTCGGATGAGTGCTTATTCTATTTCGAGGTATTGAATGAAGAATTGATTTCTCGATAAAGGAATATGAGTGCTCGTATCTGTTCTTGGACACAGGGTTCGGCACATTTCTTAGGGCAATTGATTTTAGGTCATATGAGAATGATGGATTTGTTGAGTTTTCATTCATGTCGTTTTCCTCGCCTACATCGCTATTGGCAGCGACGGTGTCATTTCTGTTGGTGAGGAGATGACAAGAATGGACTTTGATGATCATACTGTTCCGGTCGATTTCTTGTTAGTTGTAGAAATCCATGGCTTGTTTTTGAGGTTTTCCATGGTTTTTGGGGTGAGGAAAATTGAGAATTTGAGAGGATTTTCCTTTTTCAGTAGAGATTGTAGTATGAAAATGCCTGATTCACAGGGCTTCTACAGGCCTCTTCACATGTTGCGTGGGGGTGCGTGATTATTTAATAAAAAAAAATTATCTTATCCCCTATAATGTGTGTGACCTGTACAGACCCTATTTCAACAGAATTCGTTGTAGTAACATAAGAAGACTCTTTTGCATTTTATTTTTTTAAATTCGAACTATTGTTGTAATTAGATCTTTATTTTTATTTTTCTATTCTTTTTGTTTTATTTAAATACGTCATTTTCACGAATTTTTATTGAAAAATTGGAATAAAAAAAATAGAAATGATGTTTTACTCAATCAAATGTATAACTAAGAGGTCAAGATATCAAAATATGAAAGATAATGATGTTTTCCATAAAATATTAAAGGTATGGACGCTATGTGCTAATTACTCTCTCTTCAAACTCAATCCCTCGAAATAGTATTTGTTAGGGTATATTCAATAGAATTTCTATTTTTAAAGAGTATGTTTTACAAATAATCTTCTAGAGCATAATTTAAAATATAATTTAAATGGTGTTTTCGAACATGATTTTAAGAATTGGCTCGAATATTTCACTTTTAAATAGCCTCTTGAAGATGCTGTTAGACTTATAAGTGGTCACGCAAATGGGCCTACGAGCAATCCTACTTGGGCCACCAGATTGGATGACTAGCCCACTTCTCTCCCACGGAGAGATGTTGCTGCCTTGTCTATGGACTTGGATGTGCTTTTGCGGTTTAACTCGAATGAACCTTATTTAAACACAAAAAAAAAAGAGAGAGAGAGAGAGAGAGAATATCGATTACAATGAGGAGCTGAGATATATTGACCGGCCTTGTTGAATTTCGAGATCAACAAATCCCTCACT